AAGAACTAGAATGTATAAATAAAATCAAGTGGAAATTCTAGAATTAACAATATAATAACTGAAATTGAGAATATAAAAGATGGATTTAGCAGTAACCTCAATGTAGCTGATAAGAGCATTAATAATCCAGGAACAAAGTCAGTAAAATTATCCACGTTAAAGTAAGAAGAAAAAGAAAAAGGTGGAAATGTAGAAAACTATTTGAGCTGTAAGAAACAAGGGTCTATCATACATGAAATTGGAGTCCAGAAAGGAGGTGGTGGTGGTAGGGGGAAGATAAGGCAAAAACAATATTTGAAAAGATAGTCATGAGGTTTTTCAAACCGACAAAAGGCATGAACCACAAATTTAACAACCAATAGACAACACCATGCAGTGTGAAAACCCTGCACTTGGGCACATCACAGTTAAATTTCTATAACACATAGACAAAGAAAAAAAATCTTAAAGTAGCAAGATGTACTAAGATAGTGGTTTCTAAAGAACAGCAAGTTTGACAGCTAGAAAACTTGAAAGGCCAGTTTTATATTGCTTAAAAATACAACTGCCAGGGCCTCCCCGGTGGCGCAGCGGTTGAGCGCTGGGTTGCGAAGCTGCGCGCGGCCTCTGCGGCGCCGGTTCGATCCCCGGCTGCTCCCCGGCCACCGGAGGAGGGTCCCACATGGCGCGCAGACCTCTCCTGCCGCCCGCTGCTCCCCTCAGCAGTGTACTTCGGTCCTTCTGCCTGCTCTGCTCCCCGCTCTGGCTCTGGTGAATTCTCTCGCCCTCCCGCGCTTCTGACTGTACCCAGTGCATGTATAAACAAAACAAACAAAGAAACCAGCAAACAAATAAATAAAGCATGCCTCTATAAAAAAAAAAAAAAAAAAAAAAACCTTACTATTAAAAAAAAAAAAAAAAATACAACTGCCAAATTTGAATTCTGAGCAAAAATATGTTTATAAACTAAGGTCAAAATGTCTAAAATACTTAAAGGTAAAAGAAAAAAATAGGATGTTCTAAAAGTTTTTCAGAAATTAGGAATATATGAACCCAGGTAGAATCATGAAAATGACAAAAAATAGTAATAGGGCATCAAATATGTAAGAAAATATGAGTTGAACATTTATAATGATTTTTCAAGGGCTTAAAAAAGACAACAGAATTAAAAAACAGAAAAAATTAAAAGACAATAGAGGTAAACAGAAATAAAAATCTTCTAAGGTTTTTATCCTACCCCAAAAGTAGGACAAATAATAAACTCTATTAGATTAAAATTAAATGTTGTAATTACTAAGATGATTTAAAAGAATGGATAACCCATATGTTATCCATAATGAATGTTAACCCATATGTTATCCATAATTCTTGGTTAGTCCCCCAAAGAGGGCAAGAATAGAAAATGGTATATAGTGTAAATGGGACAATATAAGGAAAATTGTAAGAGGGTACATTTAAACCCAGCTATCTGGATTATATTAAATGTAAATGGAGTAAATGTTCCAATTCAAAGAGAGAGATTAACTGGACAAAAGACAACTCTATATTGCTCACAAGCAATGTATTTATCAAGCTACTTTAAGTCAGAAGTTTGACAGCAACCAGGGATAATAAGATACCTTGAGAATATAACAACCAAAAGAAAGCCACATAGTTTATACTAATATCAGATGAAACAGACTTTAGGGCAAGTGATATTATGTTTAATAATTATAAAAAATCAGTGTTAAAGATACCTGCTTAACATTTGCATGCAGTTATTAACTGAAAATGAGATAGAAAATGTAACTTAAATAACTATTGAAGAGATTAGAATATCTCTTGAAAAGACACCAGGATCAGAGAGATTTATAACTATTTTAAGTTCTACATAAACTTTTAAGAACATACATCAAGACCATAAAGAAAAAGAAAAAGATAAAATCTTTCACATTTATTTAATGAAACTAGAAAAAGGAACTTTGTGAGAATAATACATCAACTAACAAAGTCATCCAAATTCAATTTTATTTATGAGTATATTTCAGGTATGAAAGGGAAGTTCAGTATTTGGAACTCTATCAAGGAAATGAAATATATCAATAAATCAAAGGGGAGAAACTGACCAATAGATGCTGAAAGGTTTTAATCATTGTTTTAAGAAAACAAGTTAGACCCTAGATAAAAACAAATTCTAACTGGTCCAAGGAACTAAATGTAAAACCACAACAATAAATAAAATGACAATAGAAAGGGAAGCACTAGAGAAAATTTAGGAGAATAAGCCCTTAAAGGCCCTTCATTGGAATTTATTCTTTTTTGTTGTTGCCCAGCTGGCCCCTCCTCTACCATACATCTACAGGCTTGTGGTATGGAGCTTATGTAACTTCTGCTTTTCCTGGGTTTCCTTATCAATCTCCCCTACCATATTATGGGAATCTCTAGATGCATAGCTTATTCACTTGGGATATCAGTGCCAAGGACATAATAGCGACAAAACAGAAATTTTGCTACGTGGAGAAATGGTCACCTCTGAGCAGCACACCTAACCAATTTCACCTCCTTGCCTCCTGGAGAGATAGCTGGAAGGAGCATGAGGCAGCTATTTTTATTGGGCAGTAGAAAAGGCTTGGCTTTGGAGTCAGAATGACCAGGGTTAATTACCAGTTGTATACAATTTATAGATTACATTTTGTAAGGTACTCTTTACACTAATGGGCTGAAGTTGTTCCTCAGAAATATCCCTGACTACTACTGCTATTATTAAGCTTAAGTAAGACAGGGAAGTCAGTATGGCTGGAGGTAAAAGATGGCTGACCCTCCCAGCATCTGTCTCACTGATGGGATGGTTTGCAGGAGTAAACTACAGTAAACATGGCAATAACTTTTCTTCATTTGCATTATTTTTGCTTTCTTTGACTAACTTTGTGTTCTTCTTTGACAGTCATTTCAATGGTTTTCAATCTTGGCTGCCACTTTGGAGTACTTGGTCTACCTGAACCATTAAATTCAGAATGTTCCCAGATATTCTTATCTACAGCTGAAATTGAGAACCACTAGTTCTATATTCTCTTGCTCCTAGGATAATGAATCCATCATTGCACAGGCCCAGAAGCCACAGCATTTTCTTGGCATTTCCTAAGGAAGCTGATGCATTCAACATTAAGAGCAGGTCTGCGGACAGAAGTCCAGAGTTCTAACACTGCCACTGGTTGGAGAGGCAACCAGCTCACTATGAAAACATTTTTATGCTCTTGTTCCTTACACTTTCTTTTTTAAAATTTTTTTATTTACATATATTTTATGTCACTACTCATTTTTGTACAATGGTTGCTTTCTTTTCTCAGGTGTAGTCCCCATAGAATTTCCTTCAACAATGCACCCGTGCTCCATCACCATAGTCCCTTATGCTCTTCCTGCCCTCGTTTTGATCTCTCTCCCTCCCCCTCCCCTGCAGAATATCTCTGATTTATAGTTATCTGTTTATTTTTGGTTTGTTTTGTTGTGGTTTTTATTGTTATTATTTTTCCCCGATTCCTTATTTGGTTCCTCTATATTCCTCCTATAAGTGAAATCATCTGATATTTTTCTTTTTCCTTCTGACTTATTTCACTGAACATAATTCCTTCTAGCTCCATCCACGTTGCTGTGATTGGTATGAATTTATCTTTTTTGATTGCTGAATAGTATTCCATGTGTATATATACCACATCTTCTTGATCCAGTCATCTATTTTGGGGCATTTTGGTTGATTCCAAGTCTTACCTATTATAAATAGTGCTGCAATAAACATAGGGTTGCAGGTATCCTTTAATGTTTTTGTGTCCTTTAGGTAGATCCCTAAGAATGGATCCCCTACTACCATTTTCAGTAATCTGAGGAGCCTCCATATAGCTTTCCATAGTGGTTGGACCAGTTTGCATTCCCACCAGCAGTGTAGGATAGTTCCTTTTTTGCCACATCCACACCAACATTGTTGTTGCTAGCTTTTTTTTTTTATATATGCCAATTTTACTGGTTCCTTACACTTTCTGAACTTATTTTATTCTCTAGAACATGGGGCTGTCAACTTGTTTCAAGAGCAAGGCAAACAAGAGGAACTTTGTTTGCAAACAAGAGGCAAACAAGAGATTATCTTTTGCTGGGCTATTGCTTTTGCAATGATTTTGTATTTTTATCTGTCCAAAGATGTGGGTAGACTCACGTCCTTGATTTCAAGCCTGTCATCAAATCCCATCTCTCATATTAGTAGATACTGGCACCCACGTGGCTGTAAGTAGATGAAGCATTTTTGCTTGAAAAACTTTGCAACTTTAAAATATATCTCTGGGACTAGTTAGTTACAAACCACACCTGCAGAGGTAACAGGTACAATTGGTTTAGCTGCCTGGAGCTGCCCCTCTGACTTCTAATACCTGAGCTTTTTCTGGCTGTTAGGTGTGTGACAAAAGATCAGTATTGGCAGGAAGTGAGTGAGTGCATGTAATCAACCTAAGGGAGGTAGGCTGAAGTCCTCTAGTGTGCCCTGTCTCATTATCAGGGTGACAGGCCCTGGTCCTGAGCAAATCCTGCCCCTTCCAACCTCTGACTTAACAGCTCCTGCTATTTTCCCTAGATTCCAGAAGCTTTGTGTTCTCTGTGTATGTGTGTCAATCTCCTTACATCAACCAAAAGTCCAGTGATTATAAATGTCTAGGTCTCTAGGAAGTAGAGTACTTAGGATTTAGAGTAGAATTTGAAAGTATGAGATAAAGAAATTGTATTTGGAAGTGGCTGCTGCAGTTATTCCCAGTTTTGATTCTATTGGTATGTACAGTCTTACCTGTGTGAAGTGATACATATTTAAACTGCCAGTCAGTGGCATTAGCAGATTTTTCTATCCTAAAACTAACCTGGTTATTACAATGGTGTAACAGATTTTGTAACACAAAACAATAAATGCAGGACATCAGGTTTCAGGGCAGTAAAATGGAACAAAACATATCGTGGAAGGCAAAAGCTGTCATTTCAAACGAGGACCTGAAATATTTGCTCCCACTTACCTACTGATATGGTCCACACAGCAATTATTTTTAGAAATGCCTTAGTTCTGGAGTTGAATCGGCTGTGATGAATGGGGTTCTGGATGGCCACGTAGCGGTCCAGGGAGATGGCACAGAGGTGCATGATGGAGGCAGTAGAGAAGAGCACATCCAGGTAAATCCAGACAGCACAGAGCTTGCTGGGCAGAGGCCACCGGTATCCTACAGTGCAGAAAATTACATCAGTGGCTGGCCTGGGCCTTGTCTGGTGTGAGGTTTCTACCTTGCTACAGCAGTCTCCATCCTGGGAAAAGGCATAGATGGTGACAAAAGCCAACACAGGATATTTGCAATACCTCAAAGGGCCAAATAACAACTGTACTTAACCACAGTAGACTGCACTGGCTGATGAATGCAAGGTTTGAAAATTTTTCGTGGCTAGAATTAAGGTATCATATTTTGGTCAACTCCAGTTGTCTCTATTTAGGGTTATTATTTTTTTAATGACTTAACTCAGAAGTTAGGATGTATTTTGTGCCCCTCTGACAGTGTGCTGTCATTATTCATATAGCTTTCATATACTGTAGATTCTCCAGGTTAAACCCATTCCTTAGTCATTATTATAACTCACACATAGTCTCACACATTTAGTGTTATGACAATAAATACTATTGGTGTTAATGAATAAATGGTTAAAAATCTGAGTAGGAATATCTTTATCCATAAAAATGAAAAATTACATAATGATGCTCTGAGTGTTAAACTCAAATTTGGGAAGTGAGGGGAAATGCAGAGGACCACGGTGTTTGTAGTGAGAATTGCTTCAGGGCAGGGGTATCCTTAGTGGCTTCTTATAATGTACCTGCTGCACGGACATCTGTAGTAGAGAGTCTGAGTATTTAGTGGGGCAGAATTTTCATTTCTAACAAGTTCCCAAGGTGGTGCTGGGCCGGAAACTACACTTTGGTGACCTTCCTTTAGGGCAATGGGCTGCGTAGCTGGAGAGCTTTTCCCTAGGGCTGTAGCAGGAGGGAGGAGAGAGGTCACTTCTAATATCAAAATGTTAAATTTCCAGAGATGACGCCAGTGTGAAGAGCATTGCAGGAGGCCACCTGTTCTGTAAGCAAGATAGAATATACCTTGTGGACATAAGCAGAGTGTCCTGAGTCTGTCTATTTTAGTGTGTGTTTGTGTGGGGGGGCTTCAGCTGTCAAATAAATTTAAATTAGTTTAGGTAACAGTATAATTCAATGATAGACAGGTGTGCATCAGAGAAAAATCAGAAAGACTACCTTTCCTTAACGATATTTCAGATCTACAAACTGAATATTTTCCAAACGGAAACATTCTCTCTATAAAGTGCCACCGCGAGTATTTCGGAAAGTGAAGAGATCTAGATACAAGCCTGCTTTGCACGGTTCACTCTGATTATTTACAAAGAACTTAAGCTAAAACGAGAGACTTTTCCTTAGCAACACCTCGGGGGAAGTCATGCACAGCCTGGTCGGAACTGATGTTGGTCCTTTAGAGAACGTTCTTTGCAAGGAGGCGGTGGTGGGTCATAGTCTGCGTTTCCGGCGGCGGGATACAGAAGGGAGCATATCCTAGCCCTGTGCAGGCAGAAGAACCACATCAGCGTAGGGTGCAGCTCCAGGCTGGAACTGGCTGCGCAAGGGGCGGCCGCCACCAGGGGGCGTGGTTGCACCCCAAGTGGGCAGGTTCCTATTTTTCTAACCTGGCTGGGTAGGTGTCTGCCCCCAATCGCTGTTGGGGTCACCTCCTCTCCCGCCTTCCTGTGATGGTTTTGGTCCCCAGACCAACCCGGTGAAGTCCGCACCGCCCCCACCCCTGGAGCCTGCTTTTGAGAGGGGCGGGGTTTTCGGATGCGAGAACCTCTCCAGAATGTCTGGGAAATAACAGGCAAATTTAATGAAATCCCGCTGTGACATTTGCGTGGTCAAGCAGTAGCTCCCCTTGTTATGTCTGCTATCACCCTGTGCAAACCGGTGCCTGATCTTGATTTCTGTTGTTCACCACCACCTTTCCTCCCATTTTTCAGGGCTGGGTGCATTTATTTATTTATTTTTTTAAGCCCTTCAGACTTGGCCAAAAAATCCCCTCTTAAAAAACGGCGTTTATGAACTGTTCCTAACTCCAGGTGACTCCCAAAGTGCCTGTCAGCAGCGTCAAAATTCTCCTTTTAAGGAGAAATCTGATTGCATTACTAATAACTTGGAAAGAATATCACATTCTGCTCCCTCTAAAGTCGTCCTAGTATTTGCTGACTTGCCAGAGATTTCACTGTTGCAAACTCTGTTGAGAAGCAAGCGAGATTCCCATTTGTTTTCCACCCTCCTCCCATCCAGACTAGAGGAGTTTATGCATATGCATTTTTAAAGAGTTGAGGGTAGAACGCAAAGGCACACTTCCAAATTAGATTCTCTAAGCAGGGAACAATTAAAACTGGAGTAATTCATTTATTCTAATGGAGATTCTGCATATTTTAACATTAAACCCACTGCACCAATATTCTCTCTGCAAATGTTCCAAGGTAATTGGGAAGGTTTTACCACTCCATTAGAAGTGCTGAAAACTATGTGACAAAGATGAAACTGTTCTGTCCTGAAGGTTGGAATATTTAGTTGGAAATTTAAAGAAGCAAAAAGCAATGAAATTCAGCATGACAGGCAAGAATTACTTTATGACAGACAGTACCGGGGGCAGTTATAATAATTTCTACATAAAGAGTATGTTTCAAAGCACGACACTCTCCAAGGATCACAGATAATAGGGTGCCTTGATTTTTTTCATATGTGAAAGCCCATTTTAAGAGTAAAAATTAAGTTGTGTAAGTGGATAGACCTTTGTCTAGAAACAGAGGCTGTGTTTAATTTGTCCCCAGCCCCAGCTCACCTGCTAATGGCATGCACATGCTTTTTATTACCAGTGTGTACAACTGGGTTGCTAACGCCACTCACCATACAGGATGGTTAACATGGACACAGGCATGACAAGGAAACCCAGGAGCATATCAGCTATGGCAAGTGACATCAGGAAATAGTTGGTGGCGTTCTGCAGCTTTTTCTCTAGGGATACTGCCATGATGACGAGTATGTTTCCAGCAATGGTTAGAATAATCACTACAGCTGTCAACAAAGCAGACCAGTTTTTTTCCTGGAGATGAAGTAAGGAGAAGCATGGTGGCGAGTGGCAGCCTTCACAGGAAAGGTTTGTTCGATTTTCCGAGTCCACTGTCCAGTTAAATGCATCTGAAGTGTTAGCTTCTCCAGAGTTAAAGTCATTGTAGAGTCTTGTGTCATCATTTAATTGCATTAAGGAGTTTGTCGTCGAACTCAAAGAAGTGTTTTCTTCGCAAAGAATATCCATTTCTAAGTCGGAACTTGTAGCAGATGAAGTGTAGAAAAACTAGCAAGTTACAGGCTCTGCTCACCAACCATCTCTATGTCTCCACACAGTCACAATGACACTGGTGTACGTGCCGGGGTCCTTGGCTTGGCGTTTTCCCTCCCATTGTTACAATAGTAGTTAAAGAAGTGCAAAGGCTCTTTATATCTTCCTGATTTGCAATTTTAGCAGAGTCCACTGTTTGATTTCATTGTTTTCTCCAAAGTACAGTAAAAAAAGCCAAATGAACTTTTAGAATAGAGGTTGCAGAGTTTTGAGCATTCAGGGAGAAAAATGTGGTCCTGGCCAAAAAAGAAAAGTTTTGTAACTACCAGGAATCTGTTAGCTGTATCTCATTCTGGTGGTTATGCTGATGGCTACCTTAGCTACACCAGGACTAAAACAGCATGCTATCCGAAAACTGTGGCGCTGAAAGCATTCTACAATAAGAAAGTCAATTAAAAATACATCCAATGTTAATCCCATAGTAATTGGATGTACTTTGGGTTATAGTTCTCAGTCAGTCTTGGGCTGAATTGCCACAGCAGCTGCCAGGAATTTCAGCTTGTTTTATGTTGCTTGGTTAATCAAAGAAAAGAAGTCTTAAGCAAAGATTAGCAGCCAACTTTCCACACTAGAAATGCTCACTGACACGATTACATTTTATCCAAGCATGATTTCAAGCCAGAGAGAAAATTACACAGCGATAAAATACAGCAGCATGAGAACATGAGAACTTACATTTGTCTTCAGGGTCCATACGTCAGACACACTTCGCTGTTCTGTGTCTGGTTCCATCTCTCACAGTAATTAAGCTGATGTAAAGTCCCTTCTCCTTGAGCTTCCACCCGTATAATATGGTAGTAATTTGATTTCTGCTTTGCTGACTTCAGAAACTGCATGGAAGTGTCTGTCGAGCCAGTCCCAGCCCGGCGTGGTCGGCGCTGACTTCCTCTGCCCGGAGCCTCTCAGCCGGCCGACTCCCTCCCCGCGCGGCTCCCCTCGGCGAGGATGCGCACATTCAGAAATCACTCCCCAGCCCCTCTGGACTCGCACAAAAGAAATCACACTGGAAAGTAGGAAGAGCCGCCTGCGCTGGGGACTGGTGGTTTCCCCGGGAATGGACCAGCTCGCAGGCTGCCTCCGTTCACATCAGACCTCCCTCTATCCGTGTGTCAGAAACTGCGAGGTAGCAACAGCCAGGGAGGGAGGACCAAACTGCCCCTTTTTTTCTTTTTCCTTTCTGTTACATTGGTAAGTTTGCCTTTGTTTTTGAAAGAGAGAAACTGGAGAAATCAATTTTGTTCCAATTCCTAAGACAGGTGAGCTGCACTGTGATTTTTTTTTTTAGGGTGAATGGTGAGCAAATAACATAAATAAGGCTAGAAAATGGTATATCCTGAGAGCCCTGTGAGCAGGGGGTGCGTCCATCCAAAGGCTACGGTGCTTAGGACTGAAAAGGAAGAACTGCAGTGGGCAAATTGGGTCCAAAGGGTTCAAGCAGATTTTTGGCGATTAGGGCAATAAAGTGTTTTGTTTTTTTATTTTAAAAATATTATTTTATTCTTAAATACCTACATCATTCAACTAGCTCATTTGCTAATATTCCACCTAGACGTAATTAAAACCTCTTAAGTGGATGAGAATAACTTGCTTTTTTCAGACATGAATCCTGGAAGACACCCTGCTTTACTTATGAAGGAACCCCTTCTCAGGTTTCTACAGGCATTTACTTATCCGTGCACACACACACACACACACTCAAATACAAATAAATGTATATCCTTATTTTTACAAATGAGAAAATGAACTCTTCCTGAATAGTTGTGGTTTTCCAGGTTTCTCTACATCATCTTGTCTTTTCTTTACATTTTTCCTAGAAAAAAATCCCACTACCCTCATGCTTTCAATATGCTGTTTGTGGCCAGATTGTACCTTTATAGAAATTTATATTCCTTGATTCCCCCATCTAAGCTATCCAGCTCCCCACTGGGCTCTCCTGTCTGTAGGGTGACTTTGACCTCAGTGTCTTCTCACTCCCTTCCCCTGCCCACAACCTGGTGCTTCTCTCCTCCAGTCTTTTTGGAATCACCCATCTTAATGGAGTCATCATCTCTTTAGATAACCCACTGTTATTCACAAGTCTCCATTGTTCTCCAGTGCCAAGCGCTGGGGGGGGGGTGGGGGGAGGGGGTGTTGGGGGTGGTGGTGGTGTGTGTGTGTGTGTGTGTGTGTGTGTGTGTGTGTGCGCGCGTGCGCGCGGTGCGTTTCAGATTTCTTCTCAGCCTGCAGCTCAAGCTTCTTGGCTTCTTGGGTTCAGGATGTGTGTACATGAGTTGCCCCTCCCTGGTCTTTCTGCCATCCTCTTACCCTTTGCACCCCTGAATGGAGGAGGATGGTGGCCCCCACACACATTAGAGTAGGTAGCTGAGAGCACTGGCTCTGGGGTCACAGCTCCTTAGTTTTGAATCCCAGCTCCTCAACTCATAAACAATAGAACTCTGGACAATTTAGTCACCTCTTTAAGTCTCACTATTGTGATTTGTTAAATGGGATAGCAATAATACCTCCCTGGTAATATTGTAATGAAGCTAAAATAAGATAATGCATGAAAATATTTAGCCCCATGCCCAACTAATAGGGTGCTTTTAACAAACGCTAGTCATTTTATTTTTTTTAAATATTCTTGCTGATATTAAAAAAAACAAAACTGATGTCACTCCCAACAGTTTTTGCCTACTTTCCTCCAGTCTCTCCCTTAGAGGGCACATTGCTTCTATCTTTTCCCATCCCCTGCTGCTGTCAGGACTGGACTCTTGTTATTTCCCCTACATGTAGCTTACTTGCAGATGAACTTGCAGTTTCTGACAGTTCTTAAGAATTGGTGCTTGCAGATCCCTGTGAGTAGAATGCTCTCACCATCCCCCTTTCTTTGCTTCCATCTGGTGAAAGTTCATCTACTCAGGTCTCAAAGCTCAGTTCCCAAGTTTTGTCCTCTGTAAATCCCACTCCCACCCACTGAGTAGCCTCGATTAAGTTACTTAACCTCTCTGTGTTTTAATTTCCTCATCTACCAATAGGGAATAATGAAAACAGAGGATTGACTTGGGAGTTAAAATTATGTATGTTGGAATGTATTATAATTTTAAAATAAAATTTCACTGATTTACCATTGCTTTACAATATTACAAAACTACATAAATTTTGTAAGTTCAGCTTTATACCATGATATGAAGACAAGCCTCTCTGCACCCACCACCAAAGTTTATTTTTTTTAAATTTATGCATACAATAATTGGGGTACAGGCCAGAGGTGTGGGGGGGTGATAGGATTCACCAGAGACAGAGTGGGGAGCAGAACAGGCAGATGTACTGAAATACACTGCTGCAGGGAGCAGTGGGTGAGTCAGGAGAGGTCTGCTGCGCCTTGTGGGTAGCTCCCTGACCAGGGATCGAACTCGTGCTGCAGTGGCTGCAGATAGCTTCATAGGTTATGTCTTAACCCCTTGCACCACCAGGGAGGCCCACCACCATCAATGTTTTAATGCCACTTACACTATCAAAATGGCCCCTTCTACTCATTTCTTGCACCTCTTTTCCCTTTCCCTTTTTTAATCATGTCCTGAGGTCTTTATTGTGACTGTGTTGCAGTTAAACTTCTCCCCCTGCCTAATCCTGCTTCCTTAGCTTTCCTGCAGTTACTGATCTGGAACTTTTCCCAATAAATCTCTTACACACAAGGCTATCTTAGATTTGGTTTCCTAGAACACGCAACCTAAGAGATGCATTTTTTTTCACTTGTGTTTTAACACCTTGAAATGTCACCTCTGTAGCAACTATGTGTCTCAGAGAGAACAGAAAATAGGTCTAAAGTTGATAAGTGCTGTTGATAAGTGCTTCCTTGTCATAAACGTAGAGTACTATAGACAACTGGCTTTATTATGTAATTATTGCCAGAGGAATTTAAATCAACTTTAAACTTCACAATAAAATTGACTTTGGGCAGAATTGCTTTAGTAATTAATTGCACCTTCTATGAGGGGGGGTAGTTTCCAATCTTTAAATGTTAGCTAGTAAATGATTGCTTGAAATTAAATGCTGAATTTTTTACAGTGGTTTCATTGGTATTGTTAGCTCTCGCTTGAACTTTTCCCAGTTACTGGTTTCTCAGTTTAGAGACTTTTACATGGTAAAATAACCAAGAGAGTCTGATGTTACAGAACCCAATAGAGAAATGTTTCAAGAAAGACACCAGTTGAGAAATCTGATATTGAGATATCTGTTATGATACCATTTGATTTGTCAGCATGGCTTTGTTGGTGACCTTGATAAGATTAGTTTCACTGACAATGTTAAAATGAACAATAGCAACCTGGTGGTGGGGTAGATGAGTTCCGTGAGGGTGTGAGAACATAGATTATATAGTGTAGGCAATGTTAAGTATTATGGAGAAAACGAAAACAAGGGAAGGGGATAGAGGTTAGAGAAGATATATAAATTAAGTGTTCAGGCAAGACTTCCTGGGAAATCAGTATTTGATCAATTGCTTGAAATAGGAGGGTGAAAATACATGCATCTAGATGGGGCTGGGGAAAGAATGTTCTAGATACAGAAGACTGCAAGTTTCTATGTGCATAAAGCCTTAAGGTGGGAATGTGACTGAGAAGTTTGAGGGACAGCAGAGAGGCTAGTGTGGCTGGAGCAGCACGGGGGGACTGGGCAGTCAGATTGTGGATAGTCTTACACGAAGAATTGAAAGGATTTACTCAGAAGCCATTTTGATGACTTGGGCAGGATTATTCCAGGCTCTGACAGAGGCATAACATTGGTTTTAGGTGACAGGTGATGGTGACTGAACTAGAGTAGTAGCAATGGGTTTGTGAGAAATGGTCATATAAGTTTTGAAGTTTTGAGCAACAGAACTTGCTGATGGAGAGGGATATGATGTAACATGTGGCACAGTGACTCTCAGGTTTTAAATAGGAGCAAGTAAAAGGGTGGAGTTGTTCTTAAATGGGGAAGGCTTTACAGGAAGTAAGTTTTGGGTGAATCTCCGATCAGTTTTGGAGATACTAAACTTGAGCTGTCTTATGATAAACAAATAGGACAATTGACTATTAGTGTCTGAAGTAGAGCAGAGAGGTCTAGGTTACAGATATAAGTTAGAAAATTGCCATTATATGGTTGGTACTAAGATCATGAGATAGAATGCAGTTTCACAAGTATCTGAGAAGAGAAAGAAGCAATCTAAAGAATGAATGCAGAGATTCCTCAACATTTAGAGATGAGGAGTTGAGGAAGAACACTCAAAGGAGACGGGGATAGGAGGTGATGATGGAGAAAAAGCAGAGAATGTGAGGCTTTGGAAGCCAAGAGAAGGAAACATTTCAAGGAGTAGAGAGACCAAATGAAATATTATGAAGCTTTTAAGAATCCTATCCTTGATATGCATATAAATATTTCATTTTATGAGAAATTACAAGTTAATGCTAAATAACAAAGCAGGATACAAAAATTCTATAGAAAGTGATCTAAACTTAAAATAAACAAAACGCATACATGTTCCTAAACTGAAAGGAAATGCTTTCAATAGTTCACATCAGTCATCTGGGCCAAGAGGCAATGGTGACTTTTTTTAATTTTATCTTTTTTTTTTTTTTTGGTGGTATGTGATTCAGATGTACAGGTTCACATCTCTCACATCTCTTTAGATATGTATTACCACACCACACCTACCACCAAAGCACCTAAAATCTTCCACACCATTATCCATTGGCCCCTCTTCCCCCTTTGCTCTCCACCCTCTCACAGTTAGTAACCTCAGTTCTACAGTCATATTTCTTGGATTTGTATTGGTTAATGTTTATCTGTTCCTTGTTTTATTTTTCTATATTGCACAAATGAGTAAAATCATTCCATATTTGTCTTTCTCCTTTTGATTTTTTTCACTTAACATAATCCCCTCCA